TCTTTCCCTTTTGCTGGCCAAAGGGCAAGGAGGATGTTAGTCCTGGGAAGGCCCAGCGTTCTCTGATCCAAGCCTCGCACAAGTTCAGCCTAACCCTAACACACTCCTAACCCAATTCCCCTGCTGACTACCTGCAGCCATAATAAACCCACCTTCTTGCCCGGCCCTGGCCAAATTCTCAAATGCCCCATCCTGCAAAACCAAAATCTCCCCCCAGCAAAGAAACCTAACTCGGAGCTAGGTCCACTCTCAGAATGACCCATACAAGAAAGATTCAGGAGGCCTCCTTCTTCTGAAGAAAGTGAGAGACAGGGACTTCAGAACGGGCCACTAAAGAAAGTAAGGGGAGGCGTCCTTCCAGTGTCTTCCACCAACGGAAACTGAATCCACCCTTGGCCTTACCCCTGCAAGCAGGATAACTGCCTATATTTTAATAAACATTTTAGGAGCCCTGCTAGGTAAGGAGATAATGCAGGTTGCGTGTGAATGGTGAGGGACATGGTCCTGTAAACCAGGACCCCAAAGCTCCCCAGAAGCAGGAGCTGCCTACGCCCTGCTAATAAGAACTAGCATTCACTGAGGGGTCACGACTGCCAGGCACTGAGCTGAGCACTTTCACAGACCAACTCATCTAATCCTCAGAGCCCTGTGAGATAGGGACTATCACTACCTTCATTTTGCAGATGAAGAAACTTGAGGCTCAGAGAAGTTAAGTAACCTGACAAAAGTCACACAAATGGCAAGAGGCGAGGCAGGATAGGAATGCGGGCTTTTTGGCTTAAAAGTCCTAGTATCTACCCACTATGCTCTATTCCCTACAAACCTGAAAACTTTCAGAGTCAAGGAAAGACACAACTCATTTCCCAGGATTCCCCCACTGCCTCGGGTACAGAATCTAGGGGCCACAGAATCCACAGCACTGGTTAAAATCCATCAGGTCCTTTGGGACATAGGAAATGGTAGGAGAAATACAGAAATTTGTCCCAAAGTCAGATTCTAGACCAGATCCCACACTACAAAATGGCAAGCCTCAGGCAAATCTCATCTGTCTTCAACTTGGCTTCCCCTTCTACTACGGGGCTAAGGCATCTGCTTTATATACTCCACACAGTATCATTTACAAAGGGAGAAATGTACATCAATATTGATCAGTATTGATCAAGACAGCAGCAGTTCACATGAGAAGGACTGGCAGGATGACAGACTCATCTGGGAAGTGAGACCCCGATGGAGCATGTAAGATTTGAGATCCCTCCTTTGCACAATGGGGAGGATTTTAACCAAAGGAGTTTGAGAAGGGGTTAAAGAAGAAAAAATGGTGTGAGCATAGGCATAGCAGGAGCACGTTTTTAATCGGTGAATTTCCAGTGTGGCCAGAACCTAGGTGGGTGAGGAGATGACGAAGGTAACAGAAGACACGGCTGCAGGGCTGTGAAAGCTTGTAAGAAGTTTGGATTGTTCTGGGGAGACCAACGGCAGCATCGGGTGTATGTAAAAAGGAATGCTCGGGGATCAAGGCAGGGCCCCCGAAAGAATCTGCCCAGCATGGGAGACACCGAAGGGAGAGTTGGTTAGAGCAGTCCTGGGGTCACAAACCTGAGGACTGAGGATATGGAACTGCCTGAACTTGCCAAGGGAGGGGAGCACGGTGAGGGACACAGGGGAGGGAAGAGAACTAGGAATGACCAAGGTTTGGGACCCTAGAGGAGGAGTAGGAGAGCAGTTCACTAGTGTCAGTAAGAGTCAGCAGGAGGAGCTGGTCTGAGGGAAGAGCTGGAACCGCAGCCTGCAGCGCAGCACAGACAAGAAGGAGACAAAGAGCTGGAAAGTGAGAATTACAGTCGTGGGAGGAGGTGAAAGTGGAGAGAGAAACGGAACGGGGCGAGAAGCAGCTCTGTCGGTGAAAGCACATTTTCAAAGTTGGTTGGCCATCAAAACGAGCTGTAATTATCGCTATCGTTAGCAGCCGCAGGAGCCACGAGGCCTTGGGCGTGGAGGGGGCTGATGCCCACCGCGCCTCTGCCCAGCTGGGAGGAAGGCGCGGGTGCTTCCACTTGTTGCAAAGAACCTCGGCGTGGGGGGCGGGGGGTGTCCGCCCGGCGGACCGCGCTGCTGCCTGGGTCGGACGAGGCTTTAATCATTCACCTGATGGTTAAGGGTCGAGACTCCGGGGCCCCAGCTCCATCCTTCTGCCAAGTGAAGGCAGCATCCGGAGGAGGCTCGGCGTCCCGCTTCCTTCCTGCTCCGCCGCAGCTCAACACGCCGGGACCCCTCCTCCGAAGCACTCACCGCTACTCGGAAGCGGGCTCTGCCCGCCCGGACGCCCCCCACAGCCCAGCCGCCCGGACCCCCGGGACCCGCTCTGCCTCACAGGAAATTTTGCTTTCGCTCCCGCCCCTGCCTTGTACCTCTTGGTAGGATGTGGAGAGCTCCTGGCGGATCATGGCACTGACCGGACCTAAGGCAAACCTGAGCCCGCTGCGATCCACGGGAAGCAGCTAGGCGAGAACCGCGGCTGCAGCGCCGAGATCTGCCGGCTCTCCTAGGCGAAACCGGTTCGCAGGAGCGGCTTCGAGACAAGGCGGGGCGCACACGGCGCATGCGCCTCGCCCCCGCCGCCGCTCGAGCCGCGAAAGGGTTGCTGGGAAATGTAGTTCTGGGCGTGAGGGCCCCACTCAGCATTCCCGGAGTAGCGAAGCCTTTGAGTTACCCAGAGCCAGGCTTAACCCGCACGTTAGACGCACGTGCTTTCCTCTTCTCTTGCTTCCTCTCTTTATTGGAGGGGGAAGGACGGCGAAAATGAGTGGAAAGTGGAACAAGGGGGCCAAATCAGACAGGTAGGAGATCCTAATCTATAACTGAAAGAGGAAGCATGGCCTTGTAGTTTATAACCATAGTAAATATCTGGAGAGCACTTTATATGTTACGAAGCACGTTCATGCCCATTATGCCTTTCCTCCTGCGAGGAACCCTGTAAAGAGTGCATTTTTCTCTCTGTTTTACAGGTGAGGAAACGAGGAAACTGAGGTACCTTGTTTCAGAAGGGGTGGGGAGAAAGCCATGAACAAGTGAAGATTATTTAATCCAGGAACAGACGACAAAATCCAAGTTCTTTCCATTATTCCTGGGGCAGACACTTGGAGTCAGGACCTCTAGATTCTTGTCCTGGCTCTGCCGTTCTCCCACAGGTCTTGTAATACTCTGAGCCATCCTCTGTTCACCTTAGAATGCAACTGCTAAACCCTTCCCTGCTTCACATGTCCTTATTTGAGCCAAAACAGGTCCTGCAGCAAAACCCAAAGGTGCTGTTCACAGTAGCAAAAGCCTCCTGCCCTGAATGTGGTGGAAAATTGGGTGTTTACCCTGTGGCAGGGTGGACCCACATCATCCCTTCTTCCTGCTGCCTGAACAGCTGTTCTGTGTGGCTGCCCTGGGCTGCTTAGTAGTGAAGCAGATAGAGGTTGCCTATGCCTTGGTGAATGCTGCTCTGTGTTCCGGGCAGCTGCAACTCTGCAAACCCCTGCACTCAGGGCCTCTTCCCTCCTCAGTGGCAACCATAGTAGCACCAACCACATCAGAGCAGCCTGGACCTTCAGAGTGTTAGTACTGGGAGGCCTCCACCACCTCTTCTGACCACCCTACCCCAGCCCAGACCCTCTGCTCTCACATCTATTAAGTGGGACAATATATATAGCACCTAACACATAGTAGGCATTCAGCAAATGTTTGTTAAATTTATGAATGGAACACTTATTCCATCCATTTCAGTTAACAGTGGCTTACCAAAACAAATAAACAACAACAAACAACTCATTAAATTACTTACTGCTTTACTACAAGGGAGGTTGATAGAACAAGTCACACAATCATAGGAATTTAGAACTAGAAGGAACCAGAGAAATCTTGTCCTGCCCTATCATTTCTCTCTACTCTTTGTTGGTGGGAGCAAACTGGGAAATTATGGGCTCCCACATTTGAAGGAGATACCGACAAATACAGTATCTGACATGGTTTAACAAATACAGTGTGCCAGGCACTGGCATATAGACCTGAATAGGGTACTCCAAGGTCCTTGCTTTTGTGACTCTTCCATGCTAGAGTCGAGAACCAGACCTTGAACACGTTAATAGAATTTTCTGTACTTGCTGTCCCAAGTCCTCTCCTCCCATTTCCACATGAGCACACACCAGTCAGGCTTTTACGTTCCCCACTCCACTGAAACGGTGCTTATTAAGGTTACAAATGGCCTCTGCGTTGTCAAATCAGATGGCCATTTCCCTATCCTCCTCTCGCCCTATCAGCACTGGACTCAGGTCATCCTCCCTCTTCCTTGTACACTTTCCTCCCCTGGCTTCAGGACAACACACGCTCCCACTTTGCTTCCCACGCCACTCGCTGCTCCTTCTCCAGTCTCCTTTGCTGGTTTCTCCTCATCCCCTCAATTCTGCAGTGTCGCCTTCCTCAAGCTAGGTCTCTGATCTTTCTACTCACTCCCTAGGGACTAATAAAGTGGTCTCCTCTAGTCTCATGGCTTCAATTACCATCTATATCCTAAGGATTCCTGTTATGGGTTGAATTGCGTTCCCCAAAAAGATATGTTGAAGTCCCAACCTCTGGTACCTCAGAATGTGACCTTCCTTGGAAATAGAATTGTGGCAGATGTCATTAGTTGAGGTCCCACTAAGCAAGGTGATCCCTTCGTCTATTATAACCTGTGAATTTACAGGAAGATGGAAGACGATAGGAAGGTAGACACACAGGGTGAATGCCCTGTGATGACAGAAGCAGAGATTGCAGTGATGCAGCTGTAGGCCACTCACTTCCTCACCATCTACAGGTCTTTCTCGCAGCATCACCTTATCAGCAATGCCTCCTCTGAAGCACCCTGTTAAAACTGCAAACCCCATTGCCAGCTCGTGCCCCTACACTGCTTTGTATTTCTCCCTAGCGTGTACCACCTTCTGACTTTCATTTTCAGTCTCCCTGCACTAGAATATAAGATCCGTGAAGGCAGGGTGCTTATGTGTCTTGTTCATTTGCTATATCCCAGTGCCTCCAACAGTGCCTGGCAGTTACTGGTACTCAACGAGTAGTTTAGTAAATAAACGAACAAAATAATTTCACACAGTGACAAGAGCTCTAAAGAAAGGAAAAGAGACCACGTGATAGGGCAGCTGTGGACGGAGGTGCTGATTGTGGGGAGTCAAGAGAGGCCTCAAGGGCTTCCCCGGTGGCGCAGTGGTTGAGAGTCCGCCTGCCGATGCAGGGGACATGGGATCGTGCCCCGGTCCAGGAGGATCCCACATGCCACAGAGCGGCTGGGCCCGTGAGCCATGGCCGCTGGGCCTGCGCGTCCGGAGCCTGTGCTCCGCAGCGGGAGAGGCCACAGCAGTGAGAGGCCCGCGTAATGCAAAAAAAAAAAAAAAGAGAGAGAGAGAGAGAGACCTCAAGATGGTAGTTACTTGTGAGTTGAGACCTGAGTGACAAGAGGGTCATGACGACCTGCACCCCAGGCCCATGATGACCTGCACCCCAGGAAGAGGGCACCAGTACAGTACAGAGGCCCAGGCTGGGACCCAAGTAGAAGGCAATGTGGCTGGAGGGGACCGATGGAGGGGCACTTAGGAGACAGAGTCAGAGGGGCAGGCAGAGGCCAGATCTTGGAGACTGGGTTGTGCTGATCCTGGGCTTGTTTGCTCTCAGATCCCATTCTCGCCTCTCCTGCTCAGCTCTCAGTTACCGGGACTGGCCCTGAAGGCTGGCTTTCCACTGGGTTCAGTCGAAGCGCTGCTCAGAGACTGGAGGGGATCTGGTCAAGGGGGAAGCCAGGGTTTTTCCTTCCCTGGCTCTCTGCCCCTGGCAGCTTCCCTTCCATAGCTCTAGCCCCTGATGCAAAGGTTTTTTGGTGGTTGTAGCTTCGGTTAGGTGACCCCAGGCTCCTAAACTCTAAAAACACCAGGATGTTGCCAATCTTCCCGTTTTGCTAATCTCTGGGCTCCCTCGGGGTTGCTTCTCAGCCTCTTGCATCACCTATGTAACCAACTCCCTGCGTTACAGCCATTCGGTTTTACTTAGATTAGTTTCTGTTTTCCTTGCAGGTAACTTACTGATTCATTTGGAAAAATGAAGCTGGGTTCAAGTAGGGAAGGGCAATCAGGGGGATGCCTGGAGAAATCCAAGGGCATATGAGCACGCTATTAAATTATAGACTCACAGTGTCTCAGGGACGAGGAAGCTAGATCTGATCAGTAGAAATTATAGGGAGTTTCTTTTGGCTCGGAGCAGTTCCTAACAAATCCAGCTGCAGGGAGAGAAAGGGCTCAAGCAGAGGAGCAGCACCCTGTATGCCAAGGAACAGGATGCCTCAGGAAGAGGGTGATATTCTAAGGGTTTAGAAGAGCCTCTTCTAATCTGGAGACCCTGTGACATGGTGTAATGTGGATACTGCACAGCTTACACAGCTTTTCACATCCATACCATTTTCACTTTTGACACAGCCCTATCCAGGAGGCAGGCTGGTACGTTACTGATGTGGAAATTAAGATTCAGGCGATTTGTGGACAGACCCTGTTTAGGCTGCTCTGCACTAGAAGCCCATTCTCTTGAAGAAGTACATGGATGAGAAGGTGCAGTCACTGAGAGGAGGTGTAGCCTGGTGGTCAGGGGCAGACTCTGGGACACAGGGCCTGTGCTCGAGTCTTGGCTCTGCCACCTACTGTGTGACCTTGAGCAAGGCACTTAAGGTCTGTGTACTTCAGCTTCATCCTCTGTAAAATGGGTGATAATATTTCTTACTTCCTAGAGTTACAGTGAGGATTAAATGAGTTAATACACGTAAAAGTGCTTGGCACACAGCAAGCCTATCTTCGGTGGCCGGTTCTCCCAACCACAAAATCTTGGCAAACCCCAAGAACTCAGTCCTTGGTCCTCCCTCCTTCCGATCCACATGCCGTTCCTTGACAATCTCATCCATTCTGTGGCTTTAAATGCAACCTATATGCCAAGGATTCCAAAATTTATATCTCCAACCTGGAACTCTTCCTCCAATTCCGGACTCATATAGCGAACTGTCTACCTGATCCTTCCACTTGGCTATCTAAGTGTTCCCAAACTGAACAAGCCTGATCTTGATCTTCCCCAAGACCTGCTCCTACCGTCGTCTCTCCTTATCTCAGTAAGTGGCAACCCCATCCTTCCAGCTGCCCAGGCCAAAACCCTCAGGGTCATCCTTGGTTCCTCTCTGTCTCTCAGACCCCATGTCTTGTCTGTCAGCAAATCCTGCCAGCTACACCTTCAGAACAAATCCGTGATCCACCCACTTCTCACCACCTCCCTTGCTACCACCTGGGGCCAAACCATCATCATCTCTCACCTGGATTATAACAGTAGCTCCCTGCTTCAGTCCTTGACCTCGCCTCCTACCCCTCTTCCCTCCTCGCTGTTCCTC